AGAACAAACCCATATGAGCAGTCTAAACTCACAATTAATGAAACTAGAAAAAGAAAAAATGAGGCCCAAAGTTAGTAGTAGGAGGGACATAATAAAGATTAGAGCATAAATAAATAAATTCAAGAAGAATAAAACAATAGAAAGAATCAATGAAACCAAGAGCTGTTTCCTCAAGAAAATAAAATAAACAAAATAGATAAACCCCAGGCCAGACTTATCAAGAAAAAAAAGAGAGTCTACTCACATAAGCAGAATCAGAAATGAGAAAGGAAAAATCACTATGGACACCACAGAAATACAAAGAATTATTAGAAAATACTATGAAAAATTATATGCTAACAAACTGGATAACCTAGAAGAAATGGACAACTTTCTAGAAAATTACAACCTTCCAAGCCTGACAAGAAAGAAACAAAAAATCTGAGCAGACCAATTACCAGCAATGAATTGAACTGGTAATCAAAAAACTACCTAAGAACAAAATGCCTGGACCAGATGACTTCACTGCTGAATTTTATCAAACATTTATGAAGACCTAATACACACCCTCTTTAAAATTTTCCAAAGAGTAGAAGAAGAGGGAATACTTCCAAACTCATTCTATGAGGCCAACATCATGCTAATACTAAAACCAGGCAAAGACACCACAAAAAAGAACATTACAGACCAATATCCCTGATGAACAAAGATACAAAAATACTCAACAAAATATTAGCAAACTGAATTCAAAAATACATAAAAAAGATCATCCATCATGATCAAGCAGGATTTATTCCAGGGCTGCAAAGATGGTACAACATTCGAAAATCCATCAACATCATCCACCACACCAGCAAAAAGGACAAAAACCACATGATATCTCCATAGTGGCTGAAAAAGCATTTGACAAAATTCAACATCCATTCATGATAAAAATTCTCAGCAAAATGGGAATAGGGTGCAAGTACCTCAACATAATAAAGGCCATATATGACAAACCCACAGCCAACATTATACTTCACAGTGAGAAGCTGAAAGCTTTTCCTTTAAGATTGGGAACAAGAGAAGGATGCCCACTCTCCCCCTTCTATTCAACATAGTACTGGAGGTGCTAGGCATGCAATCAGACTACACAAAGAAATGAAAGGCATCCAGACTGGCAAGGAAGCAGTCAAACTGTCCCTGTTTGCAGATAACATGATATTGCACATAAAAAACCCTAAAGAAGGCACTCCAAAACTACTAGATCTAATATCTGAATTCAGCAAAGTTGCAGGATACAAAATTAATACGCAGAAATCTGTGGCATTCCTATACACTAACAATGAACTAGCAGAGAGAGAAATCAGGAAAACAATTCCATTCACAACTGCATCAAAAAGAATAAAATACCTAGGGATAAACCTAACCAAGGAAGTGAAAGACCTAGACCCTGAAAACTACAAGACACTCATGAGAGAAATTAAAGAAGATACCAATAAATGGAAACACATCCGTGCTCATGGATAGGAAGAGTTAATATTGTCAAAATGTCCATCCTGCTTAAAGCAATCTACATATTCAATGCAATTCCTATCAAACTACCAACAGCATTCTTCAACGAACTAGAGAAAATTGTTCTAAAATTCGTATGGAACCACAAAAGACCCTGTATAGCCAAAACATTCCTGAGAAGGAAGAATGAAGCTGGGAGGATTATGCTCCCCGACTTCAAGCTCTACTACAAAGCCACAGTAATCAAGACAATGTGCTAGTGGCACAAGAACAGGCCCATAGACCAATGGAACAGACTAGAGAGCCCTGATATAAACCCAACCATATATGGCCAATTAATATACTATAAAGGAGCCATGGACATACAATGGGGAAATGACAGCCTCTTTAACAGCTGGTGTTGGCAAAACTGGACAGCTACATGCAAGAGAATGAAACTGGATTATTGTTTAACACCATCCACAAAAGTAACCTCAAAATGGATCAAAGACCTGAATGTAAGTCATGAAACCATAAACCTCTTAGAAGACAACATAGGCAAAAATCTCCTCAATATAAGCAGGAGCAACTTCTTCCTGAGCGCACCTCCTCAGGCAAGGGAAACAAAAGCAAAAGTGAACAAGTGGGACTACATCAAACTAAAAAGTTTCTGTACGGCAAAGGACACCATCAACAGAACAAAAAGGCATCCTACAGTATGGGAAGAATATATTTGTAAATGACATATTCAACAAGGGGTTAATATCCAAAATATGTAAAAAGCTCACATACCTCAACACCCAAAAAGTAAATAACCCAATTAACAAATGGGCAGAGGATATGAAGAGATAGTTCTCCAAAGAAGAAATTCAGATGGCCAACAGACACATGAAAAGATGCTCCACATCACTAATTTTCAGGGAAATGCAAATGAAACCCACAATGAGGTATCACTTCACACTAGTAAGGATGGCCAGCATCAAAAAGACTAAGAACAAACAACAAATGCTGGTGAGGATGCGTAGAAAGGGGAACTCTCCTACACTGCTGGTGGGAATGTAAGCTAGTTCAACCATTGTGGAAAGCAATATGGAGGTTCCTCAAAAAACTAAAAATTGAAATACCATTTGACCTGGGAATTCCAATCCTTGGAATTTCCCCAAAGAATACAACCTCTCAGATCCAAAAAGACATATGCACCCCTATGTTTATCACAGCGCTATTTACAATAGCCAAGATACGGAAGCAACCTAAGTGTCCATCAGTAGATGAATGGATAAAGAAGAGGTGGTACATATACACAATGGAATACTATTCAGCCATAAGAAACAAATCCTACCATTTGCAACAACATGGATGGAGCTGGAGGATATTATGCTCAGTGAAATAAGCCAGGCAGAGAAAGACAAATGCCAAATGATTTCCCTCATTTGTGGAGTATAACAACGAAGCAAAACTGAAGGAACAAAATAGCAGCAGACTCAGAGACTCCAAGAAGAAACTAGTGGTTACCAAAGGGGAGGGGTGGAGAAAGGGATTGAGGGGTATTATGTTTAGTGTACATGGTGTGGGGGTTCACGGGGAAGACAGTGCAGCACAGAGAAGGCAAATAGTGAATCTGTGGCATCTTACTACAGTGATGGACAGTGACTGCATTGGGGTATGCATGGGGACTTGATAATATGGGTAAATTGTAACCACATTGTTTTTTCATGTGAAACCTTCATAAGAGCACATATCAACAATACCTTAATTAAAATTTTTTTAAAAAGAAAATTAATCTGCAGTGGTATGTGGGCATCAGATAAAGAAGAGTTCAGAACATGGAGTGCTACCAGGGACAAAGGAAGGAAATCAGGTGTCCTTAAGTCCAGAGGCTTAGAACCAGGTATTAGGCGACTGCAGCTGTCTTGAGTGACTGACAGTGATGGACAGATTCAGAATCCCCCTGAGGGCTTAAAACACAGATTGCAGGGCCCCATCCCCGAAGTTTCTAATTCTGTAGGGTTGGGCTGGCTGCTGAGAATTTGCATTTCCAAGTTCCTAGGCGCTGCTGCTGCTGCTGCTGCTGGTCTTGGGAACCACTCTGGAACCCCTGGCTTAGATTGATCCTCCTTTCTGTCTTTAAAATGGACACAATTCTATCTTAAAGGATACTGCAATAAGTAAGGAAGATAAAATAAGGAAGCAAGGTACGTGGAAGTGTAGATACTGATTTCCCTTACAATTGATTAACTGGGATTCACTGAGATGGGAACTGCGATAATAGGAAACGGAGGAGTCTTACCTTCCTCAACCAGTTGTAGGGTGATGTGAGGCAGGAAACAGGAGAAGTCGAATTTCGGGTGGAAATAATGAGCCCAATTTAGAGTTTGTTCATTTTCAAATGCAGTACACATTTATCTTTCTTTCTTTAAAAAAAAATGAAAGGTCAGTGCTTTGAGTATATTTACTGGCTTAGTCATTTTACCCTAGTTTAATTCTGTGCCCTACATGGGCACTTGCGAGCTCTGAAAAAAAGCTATGTGAGATGTTGGCTGCCCGCGTAGGCTTTTCTGAACCCTGTGTTTGTATTCTTGGAGTCCGCAAAGGTGTGTATTTGTCTGGGGGCAAAGGCAATAGGGATCAGAGACTAGTAATCATTGTGTCGTTTACGGCAAGGAATGGCTGCTGATGGTGGATGAGGACAGCAAATAGAGATTTTCAAGAAATATTTCCTAATTGTCAGCCATGATTTTATGCTTTTAAAAAGGAATTAATATTGGCTTCCTTTCCTACCAATCTTGTTAACACTGCTTGAATTATTTTTGTGGCTTCTCTATTGCAAACGTCTTGTTATTATTTTACCAGGAGTTAGGAAATGGACAGCTGTTTTCTTTCCTAAAGTTGGAAGACTATAATAATGAAAAGGCTTTACATATCTCTATCGCAAAACGCTTACAGTTCGAACGGAACAGGACTCGTTTCCCCGCCGCCCCGGGTCCTGCTCGCCACCATCGTGGGCACGCGGCCCGCCTCCCGTCGCGCCGAGAGGCGGGCGCTCGCTCCCACAGCGCCAAGCTAGCCTGGCGGTACCTCCCTTTCCCGTCCCTCAGCAACGAACGGCAGCGGGAACATTCACCCAGGAGTGGAGACAATGTCCTGGGCCTTCCTACGGGTATTAAGCATTTCTCCCCTCGCTGCCCCTTCGTGGGAGGAGGGGGCGTTTAGATATCCTTCGGTGATGGATGGGAACTGGCTGCGCCCAGCCTGGCTTGTCCCTGGAACTAAGCCCCAGGCAACCGAGAGGAAACTGGCGGTTCAGGTCGCGGCGCCCCGCGGGACGCGGGCCCAGGACCCCTACATCCGCCCCCTCTTCACTGCCCCGGAGACCCCGGACGAAGCGCGCTCCAGGCGGAGGCGGTGCCGCGCGGCGCAGGGCCGGGGATTGGAGGCGGGGGCGAGGGAGGGCGCGGAGCCCCGTTGCGGGAGCCCCAGTGACGCACCAGTGACGTCGGTGGCTGCGGGCGGGATTTCCCGGCCCCTCCCGAGCGCCCGGCGACACCCTGTGGCCAAGTGGGTGCGGCCACGTGGACAGAAGGGGGCGGGGAGCGGGGTCACGCACTCTGCGCCCCGCGGGTCCCGGACGCGCTCCGGGCACCCAGCACTGGACGCTGAGCGCACAAGTACGTGGCGTCGGGGCGTCCCGGCTCTCAGACGTGGCACGGCTCGGCAGCCTGCTCCCCGCCCCCGTCCAGCACCAAGTGGTCTGTCCGGCCCCGGCGGCACGGGCGCACTCCTCACCGCCAGCCCGAGAGCGCCTTGCCGCGGGAGCAGGACGCGGAGCCAGACCCTGTGCCGCCCGCGCCGCGCCGGGTGAGGAGCGATGCTGTTCGGCCTGACCGGCCCCCGCATGCGCCTCCCTGTAGACAAAGCCCGCGCGTAAGCGGCGCCCTCGGCCCGCGCCCCGCTCGGGTAAGTGGTCGCCCCGCCGGCCGGTCCGGCCCCGGCGTGTCTGGGCGGAAAGAGCGGCACACCCCTCGCTCCGGGTAGCTCGGGGCCAGCCAGGAACAAAAGGAATAGTCGGGCGGGAAAGTCTGCGGAGCTGGAGAGGCGGTTCTGGCTCGTGTGTGGCCCTACGGTTGGCAGTGGAGGCTCCGAAACAAGTCTTCGCGGTGATCTTGGCCGTCCGCGGCGAGCCCGGCCTTCGCGGTTGCCTCCCAGGGTGGCGGCGGCGGCCGGGCGCTGGCAGGTGAGGGGCTCCTCCAACCCAGGAGCCTCCACCGAGCCCTTGGGAAGCCTGGGGGCAGGTTTGGGCAGGCAGCTCGGCACGCGGAGGGGATCTCCTGGTGGACGGGGTCGCCCGACTTCTCCCTTAAGGCGAGGAGAGGCTCCTGGGGACCCCTATTCCACATATAGGTCGCCGAGCGCTTCCCCCAGCAGGACTGTAATGGAAAGGATGGGGAGGCTAGTTGGTGGTTGTATTTGTGGAAATGTTTTTGGCGAGTCCCTGAAGAAGCCCTCTTGACTGCCCAACACCCCTAGACATTTGACTCCGGAGTGGTTCCGGTGGAGACAGAAGACGACAAGGCGAGGGTTTGTTCCCTCCCTTATGGCGTCTGTCCCCGAGGGTGGTGCTGAAATGGGCTGCGCTCGCAGTGCGCGCCCCCAGCGGTACGGTGCGGGGCAAGGGGGAACTTTGGTTTAATTTTTTAATTGCCTTAGAAATAATAAGGGACAGGTGAGGTGGGAGACAGAGGTGTGGCTGGAGAAGTCTTCCTATTTGGGGAGATTTGCTTGTTTTAGTGTATTTGGGGCTAGGATGTTAGGAAACTCAAAAATGTTAAAAGTTTGATCAAGTGATGAAGTGGATCTTGGACACCGGGTTCCCCACCCTCTCCCAACCCCCACCGCTGCCTGTTCCCTTCCCTTTCCGTTGCCTCCTGGGACTGTGAAAGGCTGGCACAGGGCGGGCCCTTCGGAAGAGCAAAAGGCCTCCTGGGCAGCAATAGTGTTGCCCATGAAAACGTGTCAGTTGTATCATCTGTTGGCAAGTCCTCACTGTGATCTTTCCTTCCCACAGCGGGACAGGAAGATCCAGTGGCAAACGCTGCAAAGCAGCAGCTAGGGGACTTGGGCTCTGTAGCTGGTTCTTGATTTTTGGGGGGAAATCCTTAGGATTTGGGCCTGTTGCGGGGGAAGGGAGGCATGCCGCCATCTGATATGGCCCTGTTCCCTGAAAGAGGCTACTGTGGGAGCAACTGAGATGATAAATCGAAAGCCATTTTACATCTTGAGGGAGAAGACCCCATACAGATAAACTATGAATTATTTATTGAAGTGTGGAGTTGTCACAGTTATCAGTCATAATAAGAAATGGACATAGCTCTTAATAAATAGTAGGTGTTAATGTAAATAACAAGGGTGATTGAGATGCTTTCCTAGTTAATCACTGAGGGGTTATTAGGCTGAAACGACTATTTAGGACAATCGGCCTCCTATTTGCTCTTCCACCCACACATGGCTCCAATCTTGTGAAATAAAATTGCCCAAAGGAAGATAGTGGACGATGTCTGGTCAGCTGAGAAATAGCACAGCAAAAGGGTCATTCCCAGTAGTTCCATGATTGACTAGGCAGTCGCCTTTGACGTTTCTTACACAAGTCAGTAGTGGAAAAAACAGGAAAAAGCTTGTCCCATATTCGTTTTTAAAGCCAAAATGACAGTCCCTGAAGCGCTCCCCCTACAGATATCAGCACATTCTTTGAAATGGTAGAACATCAGGTGAAAACCCAAGTGCTCTCATTCCTCAGGTCCCTTGGGGAAGCAGGTGCTCAGGAGGATGGGGTGAGGATTCAGGAATGGACACACACACACACACACACACTCTCTCTCTCTCTCTCTCTCTCTCTCTCTCTACTGCTTATCATGGAGGGCAGCCAAACGGCTGAGACTGAAGTCTACAAAACAAATAACTCTCATTTATTTATAGTCACATCTCACTATCACATTTTTCTTCTACTTGAAGAAGAGAGAATACCTAATAATGTACTACATATTCGTAGATTACCTTTTTCTTTACGAAATTTTGAAACAGTGTCTTAAAATATCACCTGATTTGTTCTCAGGACACTTTTATGAGTATATTTTTATCTAATTTTGCAGACCTTCTTTTATTTGGTATTTTTATTCACTCGAGGCATACTCAGACATAAAGAGACTTATTATTCAGGTAGAGATTTTTTGTTGAGTTTTCTTGAACCAGAAACTGATATTTAACTTCTTTACTACAGAAATATCCTTTTAACAGTAGCCAGCAAGGTATTTTAGTTGATAATTGGAGAAACTAAATGAGTATCAGAAAAGAAAACCAGGGAGGGCAATTATAGTATAAAAAATAGCATAATACTACTGAAAGGTTAAGCTAGCTGCTTAAAACCATATGAAGAATAAACCAAAATATTTCCAATAAATTATCAGAATTAAAAACAAATGCAAATGAAATTTTCACATCAGGAAGGACGTAGAGGCAAGAAATCCTCTGAAAGGAAAAATTACTGCAGAGAAAATAACGGGTACTTAAAAAGACATCAATTTGGTAAGCTAGCTGGCGCATTCCGAATCCCTTTGTCAGGGAGCTTTCGTTAGGTCAGATGGCAGCTGCTGTGCAGTTTTCCTGGTGGAACTCAGAACACAAAATGGGAGGTCTTGTGTAGACAGGGGTGGGTGGGTGTATTGAAGATAGGGTGCTTGTGGGATGGGCTCTGGGTGGCTGAGAAGTGAGGACGTATATGTAGTTGTGGAGAAGCTTTTCGTCCCAGAGGGCCTGAGGCTCCCGGGTAGTAGTAGACAAGTCACCATGGGCCCACCCCAGCAGGACCCGACAGGAGGGAGCCCAGGTTGGTGGGCAGCAGCAGGAAGGGTGGGCCACCCTTCACCTTGTGCATAATGTGGATGATCTCATTCAAGCCTCACTCCATTACCTCAAGGTTTGTCTTAAGCAAACATAACAGTGACTGCTAGTGTCCCTTCTGGCCAGAAGTGCTGTGGCGAGGTGCGTGGTCATGACATTTTTAATCAAGGAAAAGCATATACAAATGGGACATGAGAGAGTGAAACGTGGAAGAGAAGAAATTGAGAAGTGTGCACAGCCCCACACCGGGAATGCTTAGGTGCCCCTTTCCCAAAGGCGAGGACTCATTCCTCTCTCTCTCAGATTCCTCAAACCATTTCTCCCAGGGTGTCTGGGGTAGTTGCTTCTAGTGGGACGTGTGCTGTGAGACTGAGGAAGAAGAAATGCTTGAAGCATCTGGCTGTGGCCTATGTCGGGTCTCCCGCTGAGGACTGCATGCAGGGCACGGAGACACAGCCTTGAGCCACTCCCTGGCACTAACTGCAATTCTCTGCCCTTCTCTGTCTCAATGCTTCCTCCTGGTGGTGGTGTCTAACTTAGAGCTGCCAGGCCTTCTCTTCTACCCCCTCCCCAGGTTCACTGTGGAAACCAGGCAGGGCAATAGCAATAGGAAGAAGGGAAACATTTTAAACTGTTCAGAAGCCTCTCGTTAGAACACATTTACAACAGTAGGAAAAGGTGTTAACTTGAAAAATCAATGTGCTTCCTGAGACCCTCACAGTCTGAGTCTTTGGTGCTGGAGGACCTGCTTCTTATCTACGGGACCCACTATCACAGTGGCCTCTACCTTCCTATATTTCCTTATCTGTATGAGGGTCCAGGCATACCCAAGAGCTGGTGTCTGCTTCTGGAGTGGTTTTCCAGCCTAATTTGGGGAGGCACGTGCCCTGTCCAGTTGCTCTGGGGTACCTACACTGCACACCCTTGATAGAAACTGCAGAGGAGGAAAGAAACTTTTCCTCTATCCTCTTCGTTTTAGTAGCCAGGGCCTGTGAATTAAACTGACAACAGGAGAGATTAACAGGAGAAAAGTTTTATCATACAGGTGCATAGGAGCTTCACAAGAAAAAAAAAAACAAGAAGTCGTTAGGCTTGAGAGCTGAGGTACCATTTTAACAAAGGGAGATCAGTTGGGGGAAAGTGACAAGAAAAAGGAAAGGGACAGGAAGTTGTAGGCAGGTAAATCTGTAGGGAAAACTAATGGTAGATAAGGGATATTCTGGTAAGGTTTGTTTGTACAGACCCATATTGGTGCCAACTATCTCTCCAGTGATAATGGTGTTTTTCCTCCTCCTGGAATGGGGATCAGAGGGGAAGCAACTTCCCAAAGGCGAATTTATACTCTGCTTTTAGGCAGAAAGGGAGAGGCCAGAGAGTTCCTCCCAGGTCTGCTGTTTCCTAATTGCCTTCAGCTCAAAATAATCTATATGCCAAAGTGGCATATTCTAGGGTGGTGTGTTCTGATCTCTGTCAAAATTTCAATCTTTCCTCAGCAAAGTCTGGAGCCCAAAGTCTGTGGCAGGTGAATCCATCATGAGTGATCTTTGCTTGGCTTAAGTTTCTGTTCATGAATCTTGGGAAAATTATTTTCCCTGTGCCCCAGTTAACTCCACTTAAAACCCAGGAGCTCCACTGATCTATAGATGCTTATTTACCCCTGACCCCAACACTTGTGGGGCCACATGGTCAAAGGAAGTCTCCATCCTAGTTAAGCAAGACAGATGACATAAGTGTGTAAGTGTATGTACAATGGTATGTATAGGGGAAGCAGATGTTACAGGGGTGTAAACACAGGCCTCTGGACTGTTAAGGGCAGTGGTGGGAATGGAGTATGTCCCAGAAGGGATGATGATGGAACCTGAGTAGAGAATCTCAAAGTATTGAGCAAAGGGAAATGGACAGTGATGGCAGCTGCCGAATTCTTCCTGGAGCAAAGTAAAGTATAGATCCATAAATTGGCCTTTATGAGATCATGCACTCTTTTCCTCAGCTTAATTATATGTAATAGGGGCAAAGTCCCTGGAGCCTTCTGCTTACCTGGACCGTCTGGGTAGCTGGGCAGA